AATTACAAGTTTCTTAAATCATTTCCGCAGTCATCCCAGTTTTGAAGCGTAGTTCAATTCGGTTACCATTTGTAATTTTACCTCCTAATTTTAATTTAATTTCAATTTTATCCTTTTTATTATTTTATTCGTCTTACTATGGTGCCCTAATTTGTTTTGTTTTGCAGTATTATATATATTTTTTAAATTATTATTATTATTATTACTACTATTATTATTATTTTAATACCTTTTTTAGGACTTCCATTAAATCAAAAATGCTCATCAAAGGTAAGTAATTTGGATCGATTCTAAATTTTAATTTTCACAATTAAGACAACCGAGAAATTAAATTAGTACCGAAAGGGCAGTACAAGGGTGCTAATAATTCCTTGATTGTAAGCGACTCCGAACCCGACATATTTCTGGTAAAATGCATATCATGTAAGAGGATAAATTGAGGTGTCCGATCAATCTAATTTTTTTAATTTTATTTTTAAAAACAAATGATCAGTGGCGACTCTAACACATTTATTTAAGTCAAAATCTAATTTCGGCCTCACCCGAAGGACGGTTGCGACAAATGAATTTCTGAATGTACACCACCATATTCCAAGAAGAAACTACCATTTTGATAATGTAATATAATTATTGTTACATCATAAAACTAACGGAATAAGATTACCCCAATGGGGGCCTGTGTACAATCGCCATTGTCGACGTGAGGGGCAGAGGTAGTATCATGGAGTTCATTCCCCTTGTGCTTCATCCACTATTGAAAACAGAGGCAATTTGCTAGTGGTTGCATATATTGAATGCAAGTTTTCCTCGATATCAAGATTTTGTTAGTATTTTAGTTGCATAAAATGTTTACAAGGATAGTCAAAGGCACTATAAAAAATTAAGAAGGATCCATAATCAGTTAGGACGTTAGTGTTTTGGTGTAGCTCTTTATGATAAATGGATTTGGAGAATGATCGGTATGAGGGATTCTGTAACTCCCACAAATTGATACGGGTGACTCGATCCGATCTTAGGTGTCACATTAGGGTCACCGGAGAGACCCATAATAAAAATCCAGCAAAATTTAATTTTTTTTGTTAAAACATGTAGAATCGTAAAACAATTTATAAATGCATACAAGTTCCAGACTCATTATTAAAAAAATCAAATATGACATACATGCCCCATAATTACACTTGTATCATACTCTACAAGCAAAGCCAAATAGAACTCCCAATACCAAAGTTGATAGTTGCACTGGATCGATTCTTTTAACCTGAAATAGAGAGTAAAAGAGTGAGCTTTTGGAAGCTCAGTAACACAGAACTACCAAGTGATGCTGAAGGACGTGTAGATAAATGGAAAAGCATAAATTTTCCTTATTAACTCAATCATATATAGGTTTTCTTATTGAGCTGAGGTTTCATTCATATTTCTTTGAGTAAAAGCCATGACGATTTCAGTTCATAGAAAAAATTCAGAGAACCAAGTTCAGAAGATCGGAATAGGATGTCTAGTGTGTTCCAACAAAACGTGGTAATGTATATAGATCCTTTAAAAATGTTAGTAGTTAAAAACATATTTTAAAACCACAATAATGCCCTCCAATCGAACACCGTTATGCAGTTCTCTAGAATTGCATCCATAAGGTCTTACCCTAAGCACACAACAAAGAAGCCACCCTAAGGGAGTACCTTGGGGCCTATGGGCCTACCAAAGGGTCTCATTAGGTCCGTAAGGATTTACCATCTTGATCAGAGATGAACCTCCATACTCCAGAATCCTACCGATACAACATCCAGTAGAAATCAGATTTAACAGTAAATTGTAATAACAAGATCGTGATCCACTAAAACCTCGTAAGAGTGACAATAAAATGAACCATATAACACCCTCCACCCGTACACCATATACAATCCCATGATTTACCCAAGGAAGTATCTTGGGGCCTGAGAGTCTACCAAATAAAGTTTCTTGGGGCCTCAGAGCCTACGAAGGGTCACCTTAGATTTGTAAGGATTTACCAGCTTGATCAGAGCTGAACCTCCATACTCCAGTATACCCAAATAATGTCCCAATAAAACAGTTCAAGTAGTAACTAGTAAATTCCATGATCCATAAAGGAACGAGTATATTTTCTAGTTAAAACAGGTAATCAGAGGATACATATCACGTAGCCATAGTTCAGTTAAAAGTAAATCAAAACATCAGTAAATCCGAAATTTTGAAAAATCACGTTTTAAAACAGGTAAAATATTTACATGTCACATAAGGAATACATTAGAGGATATATATTCTTCAGAGCAACTTGGTGATCAGGAAGATATTCATAATCTTTTGTATCAGAGTTACTTAAGATTTCAAGTATGACATGAGTGATTCTATTATTCAAACAAACATCAGACATTTTGATTCTTGGAGAATTCTCAGTAATTTAACTCAATAAGGATAGAGTGATGATTTGTGGTATTTAAGATTATGTATTGAATTATCAGGATTTTGAGTCCGATTGAACTACCGATCCCAATATTGTGATACTTGTCAATCATTTAGACCAAGATACTTCATTGTTATTCACTTCTTATTACTGACTGCACTACACTACTAGAAAAAAACCCTTTAATGACGCGCAATGCGCGTCATCTATGGGTGTGGATGACACACAAATGCCTGTCGTTGAAGCCACCGACATGAAACTCATATGACACGCAATTGTGCGTCATGAATTTATGATGCGCATTTATGACGCTCATTGCGCGTCATTGAAGCCCCCGTCATAAATGAAGATGACACACATTTGTGTGTCATAAATTTATGACACGCATTTATGACTTACATTGCGTGTCATTGAAGCACACGCCATTAGAAAAGATGACACACATTCGTGTGTCGTGATTCTATGTTGTAAATTATATATATATATATATATATATATATATATTGTAGATTGACAAATAATCAAACTAAATCACATTTAATGCATCATAATACTAAATATATATATCATATTATATATAAGCAATTCATTTGCATACAATATATTAACATTAAGTTATCAAAAATATTGTAATCATATGTCGATACAAAATATCACGACATAATAAAGTTTTCCAAATAAGATACTCATTCTTTGTGAATATCAAACATGTCGACATTGCGGGAGATGCAAATCCTCTAGCTTCTTCTGTAATTTTGAAGTTGCTTCTTCAGAGTCGAGAACTCTTGAAACAGGTTGCGAATGAGCATTGGCTTCAACTGAACTAGTAGGAACATCAGATGCACCAGTTGTTCCCGAACCCTTCCCAAAATTAGAGCTGATCACCTTTGGTTTCTACTCCTTATTTGAACCAACTGCTGATGACATATAGGAATTAATACTTTGAATATATTAATCAAGCATCAACAATCTTCAGGTGAAAACATAAAGTAGTTCAAACATTTGTAAAGAGCAAACATTTTCATTTATGGTTATCAAGTTATCACTAATCACTAAGTAATATGAAAAGAACGAAAAATCAAGTCAATTTGTGGTAAAGGTATCTTAAGCTTTAAAAGCTTTACTTTTCATTTCTCACAGTTACATTGTTATTTAAGGGGATACTTCTATTTACATATGGGTAATTCACCTATCCTTCTCGGTTATAATGATGATTTTCATTCAAACTTGCAACATACATGCTACTAAATTCTATTTCGCTCAGAGGAAAAGGTGATTGATATCCATTTACCAAAATTAGTTATATTCCAATGATTATAAGGAGTAACATAGTGGGTCTGAACTCTGAACATCCTTAATCAATCAAACAAAGAAGGGCATTCAACTAAACTTTCCTGGTCTAAGTGAATTTAGATAAATCTCATCTCTAACAAATAACGCACACATCTTGATATCTAGATTAGATCGAGACAACTTAAGAATCCATGTACAATCCAACAAAAAGCCAAAAATCAGCTTTTTTGGTGTATCAAAAGGATTATAGCACAAAATCCACAACGTTTCTTTGGATTTACCCAATTAAGCCATAAAACCAATAAAACACCATCTAAGTTTCATCAGCAATTACCAATATATAGAAAAGTTACAAAACAACATTGATTTGGAAACTGAAAAGTTAAATAATAATCCATTCTACCTGCAGGTTTCTTTGATTCGGATCTAATAAATATGTTATTTGCTCATTGTATATCTGCAAAAGAAAATTGAAAATGAAGTGATAAGGAACAAGAATAGTACAACGCTAAGCAGTCCAATTATGTCAAAACTAAGAATCAAAATAATTCAATTAACTCTACCTCAAGAAAAGAATAGCGGATTTGATACTTGAGATGTTTATCAACATGCTTAATTCACAACTTCTAAACGGGAAATATAGTACAACTCAAATACCCACCTTGGCACATAGAACTCCAATTACAATCCCTCTAAGTGGGAAAGACGACAATAATGCAAAAGTATGGAAACAAGAATTACTCAATCGCACTGATTTAGAAATTAGATTACTACATTACATATCGATCAACTGGTAACCACAGAAGTCACATATAAGTTAAATGTCCTCGGGAATAGACCATTAATAGTAATTTAACTTTGAAATAAGCTTGTGATGTTATATGCATAAAAAATAGAATACACAAAGGATATCATAAAGGCAAAAACAAGAAATTCATAAATCAGTTAAAAGCATAGGAACAGAGCCCCAAACAAAGGGAACTAGTTAACAACATTGAAAATATTAGGAACAAAAGGCATATTGCTAGTGGAACTTACATTTTATTAAAGAACGTTTCCAATAATACTGAGAATTAAACTTATTGATTACAAATAATAATGCATTAATGCTTACCTTTGGGACAAATTAAGACCTTATTGGTTTGAGTAGTCTGGACTTCAGTAATCACCCCTTGCTCACTATTGGCACAAGTTTTGTCTTCTCTTGAAGTCTTTTTGCATGTACCATCAACATTTACATAAGCTTCCAAGCAAGAGGCAACACAAGTAGAGTTTTGATTATATAAACAAATTTCTTCATCATAAACCTTCTCTGTTTCTGCAAGTTGTTCTGGATGGCACTGTTCGGATATAATCATAACTGATGAATCATTATCCTTAGTTCCTTCATTTCTAGGAGAAACATTAGCACCTTGGATCATGATAGAAGACTCTCCAATATGTGTGGTATCAGAATCTTTTACCGCTATATTGAAAGATCTATCATTGTCTACCTTTTCAAGTAAGTTATTACTTTGGCAAGAATCTTGGATTACATTCTGAGACCTCTCTATTTGAACCCCCATATTAGAATCATCTGTACTAGCATAAGGAGAAATTTCCATTGCAGCAACGTTGGTTCCTTCTAATGGTGTGACGTTTCTAAAATTATCATCTCTTGCACAAACAACATATTTGGGATCATACTGCAATCTAAAAGAATTCGCAGAGTCTTTATTTGTCTCCAAATTTTCATTTTCATCAGCTGCATAGAAGTTGAGACACAAATTTAGTCCATACTCAACTCCCTGGGGTGAACTTAAAGTTTCAACATCTTTGACAAACTGATTCTGACCATCATTGAAGTTAACAATGTATGGTAGTGGACATGGTTCCCAGCCACAAAGACTTATAAGCTTTTGAGCCTAAAAATTTTCCAAATTAATAAATCTTTAACACCAACAAGAACTCATGAATGTATAAATGATAAAACCACAATCATCAATGCAGAAAATGTTAAACTTGTAAAGTCATAAATTGGAGAAACATTGGATTATTATCACTCTTTTTTACCAAAGCAGGTGGAATGATATGAAAATGCAGTAGAAGGAATTTCAGAAAAGAAATGCATGTTTAAGTGTACATGTTCCTATGAAGCTAAGACTGTAAAAATTTTCAACCCTAATATGCTTGTAATTGCAAACTACAATGAAAAACAAGTTTCATACTGATAGTACAAGTTAGCATAATCCACACAGATCCATCTCTGTACATTTATTTGAGAAAATTCAGCATTCTTTTTCAGATAATCCACCATTAGGGGTTGTCTGAGAAATTCTTCGAGTTGAGGACTTCTCATAAATTCAATGACTGAAGACGAAATTACTGGAAGAGGCATAAGTTAAAAGAGTGAGTTCGATCTAGCCTGGAATTTATCAACCAAATAAGCAGGCGTAGTGGGAGGAAATTCAGCTAGTCTTTCATAACAGACATTGTCAATCCAAGGGCAAGTCAATTTGTGTCCACTATCCAGCTTTAAGCTAAACACCGAGACCACATTCGCAACTGAAGAACATAAAAGAATGATATCTAATTTAGCCTGCAAATACCAGAATTTTCAAACTATCTGGCCAAAATTAAGCAATATTAGATACATAACATGCCTTGCTGCTGTGTCCAAGAAGGTGGGGTCGAAAACAGGAGATGTGCTACGCATGATTCACAGGCCAGAATGTCCATATCCACATTGACCTTACCTCTCATAGCACAATTAACAGCATTTACTACCTAAAAAGAATGGAAAATATTATCATCTCTTTGAATTAAATAAAATCGAAAAAAGCATAGGAAAGGGTAGGGTAAGAATATATAGAAGATAGAATAGAAACCTTGGGTTTAGTAAACCAAGTCATGGATTTGAAAGTTGATAATCTCCTGTGAAGATCTCCTCTATCCCATGGTCTGCAAAGTGGAGATTCACTGGCACCTATGCCATGCTGATTCTCTTCCGTTGCTAAAGAATACGTTGAATTTGGGCGTTTCTTCACTCCTAATAATTGTTCTTGTCTCCCCATTCCCGTTCCCGGTGGCGATGAACTACCCATTAATTATAATTAAAAATACATTTTATATACAAAAAAATAGCAGTAGTGATGAGATTTAATTGAAATTTCAAGTTTCATCAAATAAATCAGTAGTTAAAACTTAAAAACAAATAGAAAAAAGAAAACCTGGAGTGGAAGAGCTTGTCCAAGATGGAATGAAACCTCTTCTCTGGATCGTTGGCCATTTCTTCTTAATGGAACAATAATAATCTCCTGGCTTTATAAAAATGAAACAAACAAGGATTTTGTTCAATTTTTTCCGCTCCTACAACCACTGGGCTCTTCTAACCATTGTATTTCTTACCCCCTTTATTAGTTCTCCTTAGATGATTTTGGGTGCTCTCGTTTGGATTTTGGAGGGTAGGGTTTGGGGAAGAAGATTCTCCACCTGATCTCTCAATATCGTGTTTCTTGGTAACATGAATGCAAAGAGAAAAAGGGAAACATAGGTTTAGTGTGAACTGATGATCGAGGGGAAGAAGCGGGAAATGATGAAAATTATGGGGGGAAAATTAAAAGACGACTTTTACATATGACACACAATTAAAAGTGTACTCTGTTTTTTTGTAAATTTTTTGGATTATGACTATTAAATATGACACACATTAGTGTAAGTCATAAATCGTTCAGATTTTAAAAAACATGACATTTTTTTATGCCACATATTTTTTGCAAGTAATAAATTAGTGTGTGTCATCATTCGTGTTTCAATAAAGGTAATACCGTTGAATTTAGCCACCTGATCCAACAGTCACAGAGCATCAAGGGAATACCAGGCGACTAGGAGAAATTTTCGACCGAAAGTCGATCACAAAGCAACCAAGGTCGAAGAATCCCGGCTAAATTGGGACTGACCCATCCCGTTTAGCTAGTCAAGCAACAACCCTTAACCGTAAACAAATCGAGAAACGGGGATAAAAAACCCAAAAACACTAGAAACAAACCTCAACAAGGGGGTTATAAATACCCCCGATGAACACCGAGAGAAGGGGACAAAAATCAGAGCTATAAAATCATTAAAACAACCTAAGTAAACCAAGCAACAGAGCAAAACATACCACGAAAAACAACACAATAGGCAAGGATACAAAAAAATTGAAAACATACCACAAAAATCAATGTCAAGCAAAGCATTAACGTAAGCAAAATGAATATAAACACAATGTTAACATCGACTTAGGAAGGAATCGGTCACCAGAAGTTGAAAGGCACGTCGGAAAAGGTAAAATTGAACCTTTCAATTTAGATCTACACTGTTTAGGGGATATTTTGGGGATTTGGGTTTCAATTTTGGTATAGGGATGGTAAGAAAAACATTTGAGGTAGGGTTTTAAGATTCTGGTGGTGGTGGTGGTTGGAGTGCGAAGCAACGACGGAGCTGTGTTGGTAAGGGGCCGACTGTTCGGCCGGGGTGAGAAGCATCGAGAGTGTTTTGAAAAGAGGAGAGGGAGATTTTTTGTTAGAATGAATTAGAAATGAATTTTGAGTTTAAATTGGGGTATTTATAGGAAGGACTTGTGTGTAATTACAAGTTTCTTAAATCATTTCCGTAGTCATCCCAGTTTTGAAGCGTAGTCCAATTTCAGTTACCATTTGTAATTTTACCTCCTAATTTTAATTTAATTTCAATTTTATTCTTTTTATTATTTTATTCATCTTACTATGATGTCCTAATTTTTTTGTTTTGTAGTATTATATATATTTTTTAAATTATTTATTATTATTATTATTATTATTATTATTATTATTTTAATACCTCTTTTAGGACTTCCATTAAATCAAAAATACTCATCAAAGGTAAGTAATTTGGATCGAGTTTTAAATTTTAATTTAACTTTTAATTTTCGTAATTAAGACAACCGAGAAATTAAATTAGTACCGAAAGGGCAGTACAAGGGTGTTAATCCTTCCTTGATTGTAAGCGACTCCCGAACCTGACATATTTCTGGTAAAATGCAGATCATGTAAGAGGATAAATCGAGGTGTCCGATCAATCTAATTTTTTATTTTATTTTTAAAAACAAATGATCGGTGGCGGATCTAACACATTTATTTAAGTCAAAATCTAATTTCGGCCTCACCCGAAGGACGGTTGCGACAAATGAATTTCAGAATGTACACCATTATATTCCAAGAAGAAACTATTATTTTGATAATGTAATACAATTATTATTTCATCATAAAACTAACGGAATAAGATTACCCCAATGGGGGCCTGTGTACAATCGCCATTGTCGACGTGAGGGGCAGAGGTAGTATCATGGAGCTCATAAGAAATGAATTTTGTCGTGCTAGGGCTCTCCTCGCTTTTGTGTACTGTACTTCCGTCATCAAGATGTTCCCTTTGTGCTTCATCCACTATTGAAAACAGAGGCAGTTTGCTGGTGGTTGCATATTGTGCATGTAAGTTTCGCTCGAGATCAAGGTTTTGTTAGTATTTTAGATTTAGAAAATGTTTACAAGTGTTGGAACCGTCTTTCGGTTGGGCCCCGAAATTGGGCTTCAACTTAGATTTAATGGATTGGAGTCGCCACCAACCACTTTAAAATGAATTTAGGTGGGTCAGATACCATCTTATCTGATCTGCATTATACCAGAAACGTGTCGGGTTCGGGAGTCGATTACGGTCAAGGAAGGATTAACACCCTTGAACCGGCCTTTCGGTACCAATTAGTTTGTCAGTTGTCTTTAATTGCGAAAATTAAAAATTAAATTAAAATTTAAAAGTATTCGATTCGAATTGTTTACCTTCGATTAGTTAAAATTTTTCCTTAAAAAAAGTAAAAATGTTAGAGGGAAACGTGTAAAAAAAGAATATTAAATAAATAATAAATACAAAAAGGATGTAAAAACAAGGGAAAATATCAACAAAATAATAAATCAAAAGGGAAAAATTTTAAAAATTTAAATAAAATTAAAGAGGATAAAAAGGAAAAGAAAAAAAAACAGAAAATACAATTTAATGAAAAGAATAATAAAAAAATTAAGTTAAATATTGGAAAGAAATGAAAATGAAAAAAACGTTAAGAAAAAATAAATAAATATTAAAAAAGAAATCGAAAAATAAGTAAAAATGATCAAAACGCAAAATTTTAACAAACAGTGACCGAATCAAAAAAAGAAAAAAAGAATAGTGGCTAAACTGAAACCTACAAAAATACATGGGCCATTTCGAATGAAACATGAATTAGGGACAATAATGTAAACATCTTAAGTTCAAAGTCCAAATTGAAATACTGAAACTTGAATTTATTGACCAAAATGTAACGAACAGAAATTATAGGTACCATGTATAGAGTTCACCCATACGTGAAATTATAGCAAGATCCCTCCCCAAAACGACGTAGTTTTGGGCAGGGTATAAATACCTCTCAATACGCCCAAAACCTCTCATTCTTCCTCATTTCTTCTTTCTCATCTTCTCTCCAAAATTGGGAGAGAAGAATTTTCTCTCGTCTCTCTCTAGCCCCCTCACCAGAGGGGATGACCGGCCACAATGAGTCACCGCCAGCGGTGGCCGAAAAAAACCTAAACACCTCCAAAGTTCCCCCTCGACGTCCCCAACAATAATCCGAAGTCAAAATCCCCAAAAATGGTCCCAAACAGTGTAGATCTAAAGTGTAAATTCTGGTTTTTTACCCCTCTCGCCAGTGTCCCTTCGTTTTCCCGAGGCCTTCGGCTTTATGGTCTGTTCTTTGGTATTTTATGTGTGGCTGGGTCTTTTGTGTTTGTATTGATGTGGTATTTTTAGGTTTTTGTTTGCTTGTGTTGATGTTATGATTGTCGTGGCCCTGCTGTTATTCGGTGATGTTCACCGTGGGTGTGTTGATGGCTTTTGTTTACTGTTGGTTTCTTCGTTTTCTGTGTATTGTTGATATCTCTCGGGTTCTCTCTTCCGATTGTTGGATTCTCGGCCGGGGCTTTTATAACCCCCACCGGCCGTTGTGACTCCCAAAAAGGTCAAGATTTCCTACTGGAAATCTGTCTGGCTTGGTTCGTGGTTTGTTGACAGCAGTTCCAACTATTCCTCCTGCATGTTGTTTGTGATACCAGCCATCCCGGGATGGGTCAGTCTCGGGATTCCGGTGGCCTTTTCACGTGACTGTTTGGCTTCCTCCCTATGCGACACCTATGACAAATGTGTAAACCATAACCACTGTTGGGCTGGTTCAGGCCCAACTGGACTGTTACTGGACCATTTAACTAGACCCTGTTTTGGACCTACAAAAAAATATTAATAATAATAAAACAGAGAAAAGGAAAAAAAATAATATATTATATATAAAAAATATTTTCCAAAACCTATATAATATATATTTTTAAAAACATTTTAAAATTATATATTATATACTTTTTTAAAAAAATATTTTCAAAATTATATAGTTTTCAAAAATGTTTTTAAAACTATATATTATATGTTTTCAAAATGATTTCAAAACTATATAACATATATATGTTTTCGAAATGTTTTTTTAAAAACTATATAAAAGAATCTATAAATTATATTAATTCTCAAAATGTTTTTAAAAACTATATAATATATATATATTTTCAAAAATGTTTTGAAAACTATATATTATATTAATTTTCAAAATGTTTTAAAAACTATATAATATATAAATGTTTTGAAACATGTTTTCAAAACTATATATTATATATACATTTTAAAATGTTTTCAAACTGCATATTATATATATATATATATGTAAAAAAAATGGGACGAAAATGAGTGTCTACATGTGCCCCTCTTTGTCTTTTTTTCGTGGAACGAAAAATAGGACAAAGATAAAAAGACATAAATTTTCGTTTAGTGGAGTTAAAAAATCGACTCTGAAATAATAACTCCCTGTCGAATTGAGTTACGGCTGGCTCCCCCGTTGCGAGGTTAAATCCACATTGAAATGATAAGATTGGAATTCCAATTCAAAATTTGAATCAAAATGTGGCTTCTCGTTGCCAATTGTAGTCAACATCGGTCTTATTCTCGGTTTAAAGACCTTGGTTTAAAATTTGAGTAGAAAGTAATTCTTGGACTCCACTATGCAGTTGACAGGCCCTCGAGTTGAATGAAATCAATCTCGAACAATTTATTGACAGATAACCCTTCTTACCTTGAGTTATTATGTAAATTTGGTGTGCTCTCGAAGCTGAGTGTAATGGAACTCGAGGGTCTTTGGCAGATAGCCCTTCTTGACTTAAGCTATGCTACAAATGATGTGCCTTGGAGCTGAGTGTAGTCGAACTCGAAAGTCTTGGTGACAGATAACCCTTCTAGCCTTGAGTTATGCTATAAATGATGTGCCCTCGAAGCTAAGTGTAATCGAACTCAAGGGCGTTTGGCAGATAGCCCTTCTCGACTTAAGTTATGCTGCAAATGATGCGCCTTAGAGTTGAGCGTAGTCGAACTCGAAGGTCTCTGGTTGACAGATAACCCTTCTCGATTTAAGTTATACTGCAAATGATATGCCTTGGAGCTGAGCGTAGTCAAACTCGAAGGTTTTTTTGTCACAGATAACCCTTCTAGCCTTGAGTTATGCTGTAAATGATGTGCCCTCGAAGCTGAGTGTCATTGAACTCAAAGGTCTTTGGTTGGCAGATATCCCTTCTCGACTTAAGTTATGCTGCAAATGATGTGCCCTTGAAGTTGAGTGCAATCAAACTCGAGGGTCTTTGACAGATAGCCCTTCTCGACTTAAGCTTTGTTGCAAATGATGTACCTTGGAGTTGAGCGTAGTCGAACTCGAAGGTCTTTTGGTCACAAATAACCCTTCTAGCCTTGAGTTATGCTGTAAATGATGTACCCTCGAAGCTGAGTGTAATCGAACTCGAAGGTCTTTGGTTGGCAGATAACCCTTCTTGACTTAAGTTATACTGCAAATGATGTGCCCTCGAAGCTGAGTGTAATCGAACTAGAGGGCCTTTGGCAGATAACACTTCTCGACTTAAGCTATGCTACAAATGATATGCCTTGGAGCTGAGCGTAGTCGAACACGAAGGTCTTTTGGTCATAGATAACCCTTCTAGCCTTGAGTTATGCTGTAAATTATGTGCCCCAGAAGCTGAGTGTAATCAA